AGTACAGAGGATTCAACACAGGACTTACCAATCACAAAAATCAATTATATATTACGGGAACGAAATAACCAAAACTGCAAACTCAATCCGAAAATACGTCGAGGGTTTTATACCCTTCCACATGGGTGCAAGCCCGGAATTGGTGTGCAAAGGGAAAGGAATTACGATTTGCATGATTCACCTAGCATCCACCTCCGAAGTTACATAACACTTACGGCCGTACAAATTTAGTGATTAATAAATCGACTCAGAAAATAAAAGGAATAATTTCAACAGTCTTGTGACACCCTGTACATGAACACATATCAGGGACAAAAAATCCCTACTTTAAATCCACTAGTACACTGCATAGGGATATCACATTTTTCAACATGTATGCCAACTTTGAGATGAGCCAAAAACCAAACAACAAATATTGTACCGTATTTTTTGATATTTTGTAGAAAACATGTTGGGGTTTGATTTTCATCCAAGTTTGTCTCAATGTCGGGTAATCCACTATCAAATTCAAGGTCAAAGTAAAGGTCAAAATGTCATTATAATTAAAATAACCCCGACATGAAAAACAATGGTAAATTTGGATTTCTCATGATGTAACCTTTTAAAAGAAATCAAGATTAACAAAATTTGGCTCACAGATTATAGAGATATGGTTATTTAAAAAATGGCAGCAATGTCCATTTTGACCAAAATTGCCTGGGCAGTAGCGCGAAAACCGTTTGTCCGATGGCGCTAAAACTTAAAATTTCGGCTTTTCAGCGGAAATTTCCCCATAAAATAAATATGAACCAATTTGAAGAGGTTGGGGTTTAAAATTTAAAAGTTTTGGGGGGTGATTTGACACTGAATGACCCCGATGTCTAATGACAAAATGTTGTTTAAAGTACCCCGAAAAGCAACTTAGGACGAAAGTTATTAGATAGTATATTATGTCGTATTTTTGGCCATTGCAATTTTCTTTGCTAAAGAAGGAATTTTTCTCAAATTTGGATAGAGTTTACCTTCCTAAGCTTGAAATCCATTGGTAACATTTTTTTCCATCTACCATGTGGCAGCCGTCTTGGAATTCAAAATGGCCGCCATTTCGGGCCTAATTTGTATCTAACTTCGGACCTGATGGTCATATGAAGTCGTTTTGATGGCAAACCCCACGTTTTTGATACCAAGGAACCCGAGAAAATCATTGTTGATGGGGTATACTCCCAGTGGAGTACCCCATCAACAAGGATTATACATGTAACTGGGGTTCCTTGGTATCAAGAACATGCAGTTTGCCACCAAAATGGACTTAATACGACATTCAGGTGCCACCTTATTATTTAAATGAATTCCAAGGTGGCCACTATTTTTGAATATCCAATATGGCTGCCATCCATTTGGGATGCCTAAATGTGTTAATTAGATTCCTTGGTATCAAATTCATGGGGTTTGCCACCAATAGTGATTTCATACGACATTTACGTCCAAATTTAATATGCAAATTAGTTCAAAATGGTGGCAATTATGAAATATCCAAGATGGCTGCCATCAATTTTGAATACCCCATCCGCAGTGGTTTACTTGAGTTCATTCAAAAACATGCAATGTTATTATAAATGAAATCCAAGATGGCGGCTATTTTGAAAAATCCAAGATGGCTGCCATCCATCTGGGATACAGCATCAGCAATGGGTCTTGAAGATTAATTGGTATCAAATGTATGGTGTTTGCCACCGAAATTGAATTCGTACAACATTCAAGTCCGAATTTATTATGCAAAGAAGCCAAAAATGGCGGCCATTTTGAAATATCTAAGATGGCTGCCGTCCATTTGGAGTACATCGTAAACAATAATGTACTCGGGTTCCTTTGTATCAAAACATGGGGTTTGCCATCAAAATGAACTTTATGTGACAATCAGGTCAGAAGTTACATGATACAAATTAGGCTCGAAATGGCGGCCATTTTTTAATCCAAGATGGCCGCCACGTTGTAGCTGGGAAAAAATGTCTCCAATGCATATCCGATCGACTTAGGGAGGCAAACTCTTTCCAAATATGGCAAAAATTCCTTCTTAAACAAAAAAATGAAAAAGTACATAACGGCCTATACTACCGGTATATGGCCAAATCATATAAAAATCATGTAATTAACGGCCTTTTGAATTTATGCAAATTAGGCATATTTCCACCACTTGGATTTTTAACAACTTTTTAGGGACCTTATAGCAATGCACTTTGTTGTGAACTTGACTTGGATTATCTGGGAAAATTCAATTGGTACATGTCCACACATGGCATCCATTATTTTAACTTAAATTTTGGCAAATTGATATACGGCATTTATGCAAATTATACCGCATTTGGAAAATTTCGAAAACATAGGGATCTTGAAATTTACCTAGGACTAGAATAATGAGTAAATCAATGTAAAAGGACTTAAACTGTCGTTTAAAGTACCTCCAAAATCTACCTAGTATGAGAAATATGACCAAATCAATGCGAAAGTCTTAACATTTGTGGCCATTTTGGATTTATGCAAATTAGGCATATTTCCCCTACCTGGATTTCTTAAGACTTTTAGTATGTCATTTTAGGGACCTTATAGAAATGCACTGTGGTGAAAAAAATTATGTTGCAATTTGTTTGAGGTCAAACCTAACCTTATATTGCCTGTACTAGTATAAGTCTTACTAATGGCGATCAATAGGCCTATACCAGACCACGCAGGCATTTAATTTGTTACTGTGCACGTGTATCGTGGAAGGGGTTTGCCCCGGTGTTTCTGACAGTGGCTGCAATATGCGCCGCAGCACCTTGTAAACCATTATAAGGTGCTACATAATGGGTCTCATATTTCTCATGAACTTTGTTTACCTTTCTTTGATAATAGACATAATCTCCAGCGCCATGAGTACCTAATTGTTGGTAGATACGTGCGCCCAAACGTGATGATACAATTCAAGGATTACTTTGCTGGATTTATTTCAAGCATTAAGGAGATAATCCAGGGTAAATCAAGCCAATTAGTGCAATGAATCATGTGTGCAAAAGACCATTCATGTAAGTCGGCAAAATGACGACTTACAGCAGATATCGGCATTCGCGTAAGTCATCACAAATCCTCGGGTCCCGAGAGTGCCGGTTTAACCGGAGTTTACTGTACTTTATACAGCGTGTCCTCCCAAAAATGTTTGTCTACATATATGTTACTACCGGTACAAAACCATGAAGTCGATTTTGAAATGTTTTGATTGTGCAAATGTACCCCTAATCCTTGGCCCAACCCCTATTACCATGATTTATATGTAATTTCATTTAATTTCAGTCGTGCATCACTGCACAATGGTCAATTGATTACAACAACATTTTTGGACACTGTGACCAAGTTCCTTGCCGTAGGCCTCTTATGTGCAATGTATAAACTGTGTAAAATCCTGCATGTTGTGGAAAAAAGGCTCATGTGGTTTGGGATTGGAATCATTTGCCCTTGAGCATTAAACTGAAGTTTTGCCATGACTACTGATACTAGCCAGGCAAATGATTCCAATAAGCCATTTGCGAGTTAAATTTGAATAAAATCTGGAACGCTGACTTAATCCAATGCTTTGCACATTTTAACTTTGCATTCTCCCGACCAAAGAGACTGTTACTACATCACGTGATTCGGGGCAAGCCTTATGCTAGCAACACCCAGCTTTGGCATGGTCTGGTGTCTTTGTGCCATTGTCACCCATTGTGAGCGATGTATTGATGCTGAGCGTCTCTTACGTAACTATGCAAGAGCTTGCCCCGAATCATGTGATTAGCAACAGTGTCTTTGGTCTGGAGAATTCAAAGTTAAAATGTGCCAAGCATTAATCTGAGCAAGTCAGTGTACCAGATGTTATTGAAATGTAAATCCCAAAGGGTATAGGTTACTCGCAAATGGCTTATTCCAACCGCAGCCCTTTTCACTTGCAGGATTTTTTCACAGCTTATATGTACATGTACATAACACAGCACTGATGTCCAAATTGTTGTTGTGATTAATTGAAAATTGTGTAGTGATGCGTGACTGAAATTAAAGGAACTCATAGGGTTTAGGGCAAGGATAAGGAGTATCTGCACAATCAAAAACATTTCAAATTGACTTCATGGTTTTGTAGTTAATTCAAAAATAGTCAGATGGACATTTCTGGGGGGACACACTGTGTATATCATGTACTGTCATGGAACATTTAAATTTTAACAATAATTGGATGATACGGTACCATTTTCTTCAAAGGGTGGAGCAAACCGTATTACAGTGGAATGCTGCCAAACCAAACACTGGCCACGGCTATACCGAACATCATCCTTGGTTCCCGGTTTTAATGTACAAAACATACCAAATTTGTTGAAAAAAAGTCAAACAGATTAACAAAAAATCCTAAAATTCAACAAGCTTCGCAGTAGTAGTGAAGTTTGATTGGGAATCTACCAAGCCGTATTACGGCACGGAGGGATTACGTGAGATTGCGCTAACAGACTTTTAAGTTGGCTTGTGAACACATGTCAAATCAAGTCCAAAAAACAACATAAATATATGTATATTGTTGTTAATTGATTAATTAATTGCACTCCTTGGCATTGTGCAGCAGTCATGGATGAGGCTCTTCCACTGTGTGGTTTGAAATAGCTTTTCAACTACATTTGTACACCTGCATCTTTGAGTGTGTTCCTAACCCATCAGCTGATAGTTTCTTCTGATGCAGCTGTAGGGGTTTGGACAGTGTCAATAACAGTTTGGATTCAGCTCCTAGTATTGTCTCTGTCACTTGAAGATATTTATGAAGCAAAGCAGCCACTCATCAGAGTACAAATATTATGCATTTCTGAGAGGAAAGCCAAACAATATCTTGAGTAATATGCTCTTTTTGATAGAGAAGAATTAATATAAGTATAACAGAGGATTAAAAGCTTAAGTCCCCTCCCCTCTTTCCCAAAGAAGTACTAAGGTCCTGGAGATTTGGACAAAGTGTTTTTTTTTCTGTTCTACAGATTCCCTCCATACTGAGATCAGTTAGTGATGAGCAGATCTTATCTCTACGGCAGCAGACACAGTTCCTATGGGATGCTTACTTCTCTTCAGTTGAAAAGATAGTAACGACAACACTTCAGGTACAGTGTACTTTGTTACATTGGAAAACAGTGTTACTCATGTTGATATTCTTTGGCATCATTATTATTTTAACCAAGTACAAGTTACAGCTTAAAGGTTTAAAATGTTACCCAAAATTGAAACTTTCATTACAGCATTAATGCAGGGGTTTCCCTTAACTTTTTCCTTTACTGGCCGGCCGGGCCAGTAAACCAGAGTTTTCACTGGCCCGCAACCTTTTTCACTAGCCCACATGTTTTAATAGTAACTTTCAATCCAATCACCATAAGCATTTTTGATAACATTTTTGATAATAAATTATGCAATATGAATACAATCGGCAATTATCTTAATCATGTACATAATATTGCATGTAGTTCCTTTTTAAGTGATGTCAATGTTTCTTTAATCGTCCATGCTTTAACATAGAGCAAGGCTTTAATTAACAGGAATCAAATAGGGGGAGAAGTTATAATCAAAATTTATGCAGTGTGCTTCGCTCCGAACTTAAGGCTTTAGGTGTTCTATTTCCGACATGTTTTGATAAAACACGAACTAAAAAAGCGTTATCTTGAGGAACAAGAAAACATTGCACACAGTCGTGGTATTAATGGGAGTTTACCAAGTTAGTAACTGAACTGTTTTAACTTGTTTTCTAGCGAAGAATGGTGCAATCAGCGTGCCTAGCCAAGAAGCGCTGCGGGCGGGCGACCCACGAACTTACGCTGGTCACGTCAATCCATAACGTTTTCCGGAGCACGGTCCACTTTACATTCACTAGTCTTTACATTCAAAATAGGCCCTTGAATCTCATATTGTCCTCATCTTTTCGGTACATTCGTTTGATAGTGTTCAAGAAATAATCCCAAGAATCCGTTCGGGCACAAGTTTTGGCAGTGAAACTGTCATGAAAGTTTACTCCTCACCACGTTGTATGATACGAATACGATGTTAACGTCCGTACCGTGTGGACTGCAGACGAAGTAAATCACGTGCGCTGCATGTGTGCACAATGTGTAATGGCAAATACACGTTGATTCGCCTCATGTTCGTCGTTGGGATTTCAATGCACAGCGCACTGCGAATATACATGGAGTGATACGAATTCGAACTACCGATGTTTTTATTTCGGTCGGCGTGGCAAAAGTATTCATGTGTTGTATCACCCTTAACTTTTTATTTTGATTGATTGAAAAATACTGTAGGGAAAACTTCATTATTTTAATTTTTTTTTAACAGTTTTTTGACTCGCCCGTCGGACTACTGAGAGGAGGGTTTTGACTCGTCCGCCGCTGTTTTCACTCGCATTTGGCGAGCGAGCGACCGCTAAGGAAAACCCCTGCATTAATGGAAATATTTTTAACCCATAAGCATCGGCACTACATTGTATTACACCAATTAGTGTTTAATCACTGGAGATTCAATAAAACCAGTGTTTGGGTGGTTTCAGGTGCTGCTGTGACCAAAGGATTGAAGGGCCCATGACATGAATTTTACTTGGGAACATATTTTATGCAACTTTCTACTCTTAAATGGATGAAAACTATTTGATATCCCTTAATTTTATTGAAAATGCATTTTCCTTTACATTAAAAAGTGTGCATGTCTTTCCTGACAAATTAGGGCACTGTTGCTACATGTATGATGTCATTTCAGGAAGACACTGTTCACTTTAGGGGTTTTCTATTCAAATTGTCAACCCAAAATTTGCTCATTGAAAACGTTTGTGAAAAAAGTGTCATGTACTGAAACATCAAATCACCAAAAAAAGAAAATGAACGACAGCAAAATATCCACAATTCTGGCAAATTTTGGTGCTGAAATAGCTGTAACATTGAGCTTTCTGCCTGAAATGACATCACACTTTTGCTCATGAATATGGAAACAAGCTTAGCATAAACATTAAAAAAGCACCAAAATTGCCTTAAAAATGGTAAAATGAAAAATTGAAAATAATGTAAAATGGGACACAAAGATGCATTTATAATAATGTGTTAATGTCAAGGAAATCTACCTTATTATTTTTCATGGCATTATCTTGTGTCTGTTATTTTTTTTTTTTTTTTCAAAACAGATAATTCAAGATAGATTACAGAACCCAAGATCAGCCTTCATGTGGAATCACCCTCCTGGTGCCCTCGCAGTATTCACTGACTTTGCAGGATCTCATAGTGCATTTCCATTTTATACATCTGTACTTGGAGAAGAAGCCTGTGAGAAGTTTACAGCAGTTATTTCTGTTTCTTCGCCGATTCTGTCACAATCAGCACCCGTTATGAAGTTGATTAAAAGTGTCTCCAAATCTGCATATGCAGCACAAGTGAGTAGATATCACATTCTGTAACTTCAAATAACTTATAGTTTACATGCAACCATGTTGAATAGATTGTAGTCCGATTATAAGTTCTGAATAGCCCAAATAGATGTTTTGGCATTATGTAAGGCCTACATGTACCATAAGAAAAAGTTCCATATTTACTCACGAAGCATTTAAACACTTTTTAAACTTTCTGGTGAGAAGGTGTAATGGTCTAGTTTATAGCTGCTGTCTTTTTTTAATGACAGTACATGTACGTTCTGTACGCCTACACATCATGAATACATGTGCATGAAATATGCAACACAGGAAGTGAGGCCAAGAAGTCTAAAAATCATTATAAGCGTGTATGTCTCGCCAGTCCACATTCACTATTTATTTGTAGGTCTTGGGGCCATCCATGAAGTACGTACACACGAAGGGGGAAAAGGGGGGGGGGGAAGGTGTTGTGTTAACATTGTGTACACCATGCCTACATGGGGGGAGGGGGAAGAATTCGGTAGTCCTTATGCATATGAACAATTTAGGACAAACTCTCGCTACATTTCTGTCAGAAATTACAGGATGAATAGCCCTCTAGAGATCTACGGAATGTGCATGTTTTATGAATAGTAATTAACATGATTAACCAGATCCGCTAGTGCTTTAAGCTGTATTACGTCGTTAAAAGCCTGCATCAGCTACAATGAGTACTACCAAGAAAACGTACAAGGGAGAGTTTCAACCAGAGGTGTAACGAACGAAAAGTAACCAACAAAGCCATAAGAGGGTCAGCTATAATGAGAAAGCATTTGGGCAATTCCATAGTTACGTTACATTTTTGATGTACTTTTGAGTTTCCTTGGGCTGTAATTACATGTACCTTACTGAAAAGGTTTAAAAACTGTTATCCCCATGGTAGATAGAGTAGACCTAGACCTACCTAGGCACCAAAGATGACATCCCGAAAAGTGTGTTATGTATCAATGTTGTAGTCGAGACCGGATAGTCCGAGACCGAGACTGAGACCGCGGATAATAAATAACAATAATCTAAATAAAAACAAGACGAATAATAACAGCTGAAAAGTCTATCCTTGAGATGATGATGTTGATGGGGATGTGAAGGCAGTGATTGAAAGTTAGGAATCACTTGTACCTGCTTGTGTCATGCGAGTGCTCGTCATGTTTGCTTCATACCTTAAATTACAACATGACATCAGAATTTGTTATTGTTGACACAATCAGTTACAAAAATTGGAAACATGCAACTTCATATCTCGTTGCCACTTTTTAAAAACATTTTTGTGCAAATATTTTTTAAATCTGATGAAGAAACTCTGAACTTAGGAATGCGAAATTTTAACGTTTCAAAAATATTTTATGCAATGTTAAAACTTGACAAAAGTAAAAACTTAAAGGTGGATGTTTCATCTGTTATAGGAACTCAGATCCTAAACACTCCACAGTCGGCCCTTGATTTAAGCCATGACTACTATTAAACAGATATTTAAAGATGCAATTTTAATTTTACATTGGGCCTCTTTTTTCTTAAATAATAATAGGACTTAACTTCTACCAAGACTTCTAAACCTGATTTAAAAATGGGAGATAGAAAATATTGAATTTTATTTTAAATTTCCGTCATGGAATATAGACATACATAGACCCACAAGCTGCGAGGTGGTAACCAGATATGGATTTTTTTTTCTGACAGGGATTTTGCTTTTTGAGAAATGGGGTACTTCAATCTGGTAGAAAAAAATTACTTTTTATCCAAATACTGTCCCAAATTAAACAGAAGATTGTGTGGGGTCGAAAATGTCACTAAACTGGAGCAGCTCATTTATTTTAAAACTGTGGGCCCTTATTGCAGCTAGCTGCAGCTTTACATGTACTTTAGGGCTTTTCCAACGTGCAGTCTGAACCTACCACGATATATAACTATTCGTTAACAAGGTTGAAAACATCTACAGGCTAGCAAATGTTTTACCTATCAACGGTACTGAACACAAAGTAAGTGAACACAAAGTAATCAATTGAGCTGTAAAAGTACATATTGCTGGTCTCGACTCGAGACCAGCCAAAATAACAACCCAGAGGGGACCGAGACCAAGACCGAGGCCACAGCTCCCAAGACCGACACCGAGCCCGATACCAGCTAAAAGTGGTCTCGAGACCGGTCTCGAGACCTACAACACTGTTATATATGATAAACAAGATGCACAAAATCGGTTACTCACGTTACATTTTTGTAACGTGAGTAACCTAGCAGCATTAGCTGCTAGCAGTTTCAGAAAAAATCTATCGACTGGTTATATTTAAATTATAGTTCAGTTATTAAGTATCAAATAAAAATGTGTGCATGCCTACGTTGCTTAGTTACGTACGTTACAAAAAAGGACATGGTTAAAACCCATGTGTCTTTGCGTAAAAAGTTTGCTGATACAAATGTATGCGATACAGCTAAAACATATTATACTACATTGTCACCACTCCAAAATTTGGCTAATTCTGAAAATTGGAATGGTAACCCCGGATCCTAGGACACACCAATAGACAAAATATATGACAAGAAAGAACAAAGTTCTGATATTTCTAGTTATATTAACAACTCTCAAAGTTCTGAGCACTGTAATTACACAGCAAAATTTACACTTACACTATTTAATTACACTCTCGAGCTCGGAAGAAGATTCCCAATTCAACTTCAGATCAGGTGAATTACTTCCAAATTATTAAGTCAATCAATAGCAAGATCATAAAAAACACTTATGTTCAATCAATCAGATAAAAAACTTCCAAATTATTACATCAATCGACAACTAGGATCATAAAAACACATACGTTCAATCAATTAATTAAATAACTCCCAAATTATTTCTTCAATTAGTTATTAGCAAAATCCTAAAAACACCGCTCAATCAATCAAA